TTGGCTTCCCAGACGCCGAAGGCGATGACGAGCAAGCCGCCAAAGATGAGGAAGCAGATGATTAGGGGAGATCGCCAAGTATCCGGTTGGTAGGAATAGATGTTGAAGGCCAAGAGGAAGAGCGCCAGACCGGTGGCGAGGATGAGGAGACCGATGACATCGAACTCCTTGAGGTAGTGGCGGGTCTTCTGAGCCAGAGTCATGTTCGCTGTGGGCCGGGGAGGGATGAGGCCAGCCTTGCGCGCCTTTTCCTGCGCAATCCAGTGCATGATTCCGAAGGGAGCCATGACGATGGGGACGATGATGCAGAAGATACCGAAGCCCCAGTGATAACCCATGCCGTTGATCACGCTGTCGGCCGCATATCCGTAGACCCAAGTGGTGATGAGGAATGGCGAAGAAGAATAGCCGATCATGAAGCCTCGATTCTTCAGTTTGGAAGTATCGGCAATGAACACGGTAATGCTAAAGTCGATGCCATTGTAGCCCATCCAGTAAAAGACCTGAGCCGCACAGTAGGTCTGGACATTTTTGCAGCCGGCCATCATAATCAAGCCCATGGTCATGAAGGCCACGCTTATAGCAAATGCATGTGGTCTGCCCCATACGTTCATGATTTTGGCATATGGGAGCTTCCAGATACCAGCAACCAGGGATGAGATGACGCTCGTGAGGGCGGTGAGCGAGTGCTCTTGAAAGGAGCTCGTCACGTAGGGAGTCAAAGTGTTGATGATGCCGTTTGAGAATGCGAGGAGAAACGAAATGAGCCAGATGCTGAGCGGTATCAGTACACAGGATCCGATCAGAGCACTAGGGTGAGATCTGGACTCACACAATATACAGGAAAATGATTTCCGTTTTCGACCATGCATAGGTCATGGCCTGCACCGCCTGTACACCATGCTCGGCATTGGTATCGATCTTCTCGACGGACTCGTCGTCGGATGTATCAGCGAGCGACGAGGTGGTGTTGTTGCGGACATCCTCTTTGAGGGAATGTTCAGAGGTGGTTCCATGGCCGGCGAGCACGTCTGACTGTGGCTCGGAAGGCTTACTGCCCAGGGCTGCCAAGTAGCCAGGAACCTCCAGCTTACCAGCGAGAGGTTTCATATCGAAGTTCAAGGATTGGGATGGTGGGTGGACGTAGGGAGGTCGTCACAACACAGATTGATTGATAACCAGATTGATAACCCAGATTGATAAGATAAAAAGTTGCAATCGGGCCAGGGGCGGATCATTTCACCATTATATACACAGGGACAGCATACACCAACCGTAAAAATCCGAGATCGGCGGGGCATGACTTGCTCGCTTCAAGCAATTTTCCCTTGGGTGGAGGGGGGCAGCAACGCAAACCAGGTCGCATGGTGAGGTAGCATCTTGAATAGTCGCAGGACTAAAGAGTTCCAGATCAGAGAGGCCAAGACCGAATAAAGGGCGACAAGCTTTCTGTCGGCCAAGCCGATAGCTCGCGGAATGCTGTGAGGTGGGGATAACAGAGACCGCAGGGATAGGGCAGACCAGGCGTCGACAGCATCTTGTAGGTGGGCATCAGATGAAAATTTTGATCTATCTGATCCGCAGCGGACTCGCTATTGGCCCATTGGCAAAAATTGAATGCCCTTACACGCGGCCTCGCAGATTGAATCCGGCTTGGATCGACGTCCACAGGCCCGTTGTCGAGGGTCTTAGCTTGCAACCGATATACTTGTGATCGTTGCCAAGTTCCTAAGAGTCTGTCTGCGGTGGCGCCATGCGGCCAACGGAACAAGGTGGAAGCCGCTCGCTTACCGAAGAATGAAAATGCTTTCCACACGTGGTACATTACATAAGGTTTCCACGAGCTACAATTCTCTAGGCCTGGGCCAACATGCTGGGAGGCCAATGGACAAGAGAAGAGATAATCTGAAGGAGAAGAAAAGAAAAAAAAAAAAAAAAAAGGGTCGCTCCTGGTCCTGGATGTCCACGACTCGAACAGTCCAACATGATGAGTTCGGAATGCCGGTGTCAATAGCGTCGTGCTATATTTTTGCATTGACCACGGTCAAAATCGTAGCTATGACCACCCCTGTCAGGACGGGCTGTTGCATCCGCTAATTACTCGGTTCGACGTGATCTTCTCATACCGCGGGCAAAATTAACAGGGATACCCGCCCTTTCTATGGTCGCTCTACCAAATACACCTGCTTATCTCGTGAAGGCACATTTTAACATCATAAGATGCTATTGAGTGAGAGAGAGTCAAAGAGTTATCTAGGTTTCAATGCACGCTACTCATTCTCTTATTCATTTATCTACATTGCAAATAACTCCTAGTCTAGCGAAAGGGTTTACGAGCGTTTCGGACAGGGAGATTTGCTGATTCTGGTCGTCCAAACAAAGCCCATAATAATCAAATTGGCCCATTTGGCAAACGTAATGTACTCCTCGGGCAGTCTGTTCCTCTCTGCACCAGGGAACCTGTGTCTTGCTAGATGCACCACAGAAACAAGCCGGATTTCTAGGGTCATTGCCGCGGCAAAACAATGGAATTTTTCGCCGACACTTGATACAGTCGGGCGCAACAGTAGGAGGAGGGTATAGCCAGGTACCGAGAGCTTAGTATATATATATATATGTATAGTCTCTAACTCATTCCTCTTCTTGTCCGTGCTAGCGCCTCATCACCTCCCACCCCCCTTCCTTTACCTCGTCCAACAAAAACGAAAAGAACGGAATGCCGCGCCTGACGCTACATGGTGATAGGTGCATCTATTTCCGTGGCCCAGCTCTCTCTGCAAGACCAAGATCATCCATACATACCGGTAACGTCACTGACCTTACGGTGCCGGTAAGTCAATGTTACTACTGCCGGAGACCGGCAAAACTGGAACAGACACACGACTCCATGTTGGGGAGACACCGAGAGAGAAAAAAAAAATCTCGCCCCGATGGATGGAATGAATCCAGCCATTCGGGATGGACGTACGGATCCGTGAAGCGAGGGAGACACAGGACCCAGGACACAAGTCAGGTAACAGTGTCTGGAGGGCTGCCTATCGGAAACCCAGAGGGAACCAAACTTCAAGCCCAGCCCGGTGAGACTGGATCATTGGCCAATCCTTGCCGGACCAAGCACCAGATCACGCATCCTCATACAGTTTTTTTCCCCGCGGGGTGAATACCTGCGTATGTAGGTATGTATATCGTCTTGCAATTCCGAGCGGGGATATACTCTGTGAACTCGCATCCCGTGGCCCCCTGCAGTGCAGCCTCGCTCGCTCGTGCCCGGCTACTCAATCGGAGCTTTACCTTGTAGCTATGTATGTGTGTATATATATATGTGTGTGTGTGCCATGTTTCTCTTCCTGCAGTTCTCCTATCTACAGATCCTCGTCTACATCGAGTGATATCACTTTCAACATCACCGTATGACCGATCGTGGAAATATCTGATCTCGACCTGACCTGACCTGACACAAAATGTGGTGCTCGCGGTCCATCGTCCTCGCCACGACGGGCATCATCGCCGGTGTCGTCGTCGCCCAGAAGAACAGCTCGTCGCTGTGCAAGTCCATCCCGGTCGTCGACACCTTCTTCCTCCCGCGGCCATTCTCGTCCAATCTCACCGACAGTTTCGTCCAGACCGACGCACCAGGTCCCACCGGTGCCCAGATCCAAGCGGATCCGTCGTCGCCGTACATCTGCTTCGACGACGAGTTTGCCGGCCTGCTCCAAGGGGAGCCGGTGCTTGCGGTGAACCAGTCCGGCCTCACGGCGTTCGAGGCCGGCGCGTGGGCTCCCGAGGGCAACGCCGTGTGGTTCTCCTCGGCCATTGGGGTGGCGCAGTTCGGCAAAGTCCAGGTCTTCCATTTGGACAACAGCACAGTCACGACCCCGGCGCTGCACACCACCCAGACCCAGTTGCTCCCGCTGGCGAACCCGAACGGCGGGTACTACTTCAACGGCACCGTGTACTTTGTGCTGGCCGGGTCGCCGGACGTGGGGGGGTCCGTCGTCGCCATCAACCCGACGACGTTCGAGACCGACGAGATCGTCAACTCGTACTTTGGGCTGCAGTACCCCAGTCTGGACGACATAGCCCTAGTGCCTCCGCGCAGCAAGCGTCACCCACAGTCCTGCGCCGTCGACGGCGAGGTCGAGATGATATTCTCGTGCCTGGACTTCAACGCGTACGGATACCCCTTGCACACACCCGACATCCCCAACTCTTACTGGAAATTCACCCCGCGCACGCAAACCCTGCGCGCCGTGCTGGACCGGGCCGACATCCTCTTCCCCAACGGCGTCGCGTTCGACAAGGACTTCACGACCCTGTACGCGTCGGAGACGGCGTACACGGCCACGATCGGGCCGTCAAACTCGAGCACGGGCTTCCCGGGCATCTACAAATACCGCCTCGGCGACGGGTGCACGCCGCAGGACAAGGAACTGTTCGCCATGGCGCGCGGAGGGGCGCCCGACGGGATCAAGGTCGACGATCGCGGCAGGGTCTGGACCATCGAGGCCGAGGGACTCGTGGTGAGAAACCCGCAGGGAAAGGTCATTGGCATATTCAACCGGTGGTTCTTCCTGGACGGAGAGCCCGCCGATCTGAGCATGGGCAACTTTGCCCTCGCCCATGACAAGGTCGTCTTGCTGGCGTTTTCCAAGATCTGGGTCGTCCAGTTGAGCGAGGTTGTATTCTCGGCGGACCGACTCTCCATATGAGGGCGATAATAAGACTCTGGTCGATAGGACAGTCAAACTGTCAGACTTATTGCAGGACGCGACGGAACTGAGTAGTCGACCGGACAAAGTGGGTTCGAGAGTTCTTCCTGACAGTGTAGCAGTTTAACCCATTCACAGGCTGTTTCCGCCAACAAACACAAATTGCTTGTTTCTTGCGCGTTGTAGGGGACATGTAGCGAAAAAGACGCGAACGTGGCAGGTTCGGGCGTTTCTTGCCTGCATCTCCCCTTACAAACTCAGCTCTCCCTTGGATTCTTTGTTGGCCACACGCTAGAGATTCAGGAGTAGTTGCTCGGTGGTGGAATTGACCATCTCGTTGGTACTGTCCAGCGCGGCCCATAACTCCATTTCAAGTGGCTCATGGAATAGAAAGGGATCAATAGAAGATGCTTTATTCTGCCTCTGGGTACACGGTTGACCGAATGCGTCGAATTCAATGGTGGACGATGTGGCAGCGTCGCACGCAGGGTCGACCGCAGTGTCGTTGGACGAGAAGTCAATAGACCGCGCGACGGTCTCGGCCGCGGCGATGGTCTGCTCCATCCTCTTCAGGCTCGACCTGGCCAGGCGCAAGCCGGCCGCGGTGGTCCTGAGCACGCCCAGGGCCCGCGTGAAAGAAGTCGACGCCTGGACCAGACAGTCGCGGTCGACGTTGTCGTCGAGCAGAACGGCCGCCAGCACCGAGACAGCCTCCAGTAAGTAGATGGCGCACGAGTACCGGTCCAAAGGTTCCGCCACGGGCGAGAAATAGAACTCGTAGACGGTGGCGACGGTCTTGTCCGCAATGTCCAGGCAAGTCCTGCGATCTCGTCGCCAGAATCTACCCGCGTGGAGCTCCTTCCGACGCATCTGGAGACGGAAGTAATTGGTGCGCTGTGATTGGAGCCATGCCATGCACTGTTAGACCATTCATCGCCAAGTGATTGGTGATAGGGCGCAAAGCGCAGAAGTACTTACCAGAAACAAGATTCTTGCTCGTCGAGATATCCGACGAAGAGACCCCTGTAGGTACCGCTGCCGCTGCTGCTGCGATGCCGCCGCCGACGCCGCCGCCTGAGATCTCCTCTCTAGGGAAAGGTAGTCTGGCAGTCTGTCGAGAATGTTTTGGAGTTTGGCATCGATGGCCATGACCTTATCTTCGTCGACGGGTCTTTTGGCGTTGGGGCAGAGCATGCAATCCCAGATCTCGGTGCTCAGGCGCGTTGCTTGGACCGTGCTGTGGAGGTAGTCTGAGAAGGCCTGGACGTCGTCAAGATACTGCATTTCCTCTCTCTGCTCGTCGTCGGTGGCGCAGGGCGGAACCTGGATATTGATGTCGCTATCACGGATCAGGTAAGGCAGTCGCAGTCCTCGGGCAAAGGCGATGTTCTTCTCGAGGCAGTACGTGGTCCAAAACACCCTCTGGCGCATGTGAGCCTCAAATGGGCTCAACGGTTTGCCGTTCTTGGGCTGATCGTGTAGCCCGACCAGGTAACACAGCTGGACGGCCTGGCCCACGGCATTGTATGCCATGTTGAATTTCTCGGCATAGGTCAAATAAATCGCCTTCATGGTGCACGCTTGGATCGTTGCGGTATTGCCCACTCCCATCGCAGTTGCATGGTCCAGCAGATGAGAGGCTTTCAGGAATCTGGTCCATCCCGGGGTGCTATCGTCGTGGCCACTCGAGTGAAAGTCTTCCAGGATGGACAGGACGGCGATGGACAGATGGAGTATTGCCGTTACCTGCAAGTCGTCGGCATTCGGTTGATCCAGATCGTGCCTTTGAACCAAGTCGCCAAATTGCGCCAGTGTCTGTGCCTCGTCCAGGCACGGATCTATTCACGTCAGCTCGCCGCCCAACGCAGATGGGGAACCTCGCTCGCGATATACGCACAGTGAAGGCTTGAGAAGTCAAAGAACCGCTGGACCTTGGCCCTCACAGATGGCACGTCCTCCAAATATCCCGGCTGTTCGGAGCAAAGCTGAAGATCGTCTTTGCAACATTCTGGAAATCTACAGTCATCGACAAAAGGGCACCCCAAGGACTTTGAGTCAACTTCACGAGCTGAATGTCCGTTGTCTTTGATTTTTGGACATGGTTTGCTCCCGGGTGAAATAGTCCCTGCTCCCGATGGCGATGACTGCAGCTGGGTAGCATGTATAAATGAATTCCATGTCGACAACGTTTCGTCAGAAACCCGCTGATCTGGGTCCAGAAGTTCAGCCAACCCTGTAGACCCTGTATAGTCACTGGTAGCAGAAGGCGATGATTCTCCGAGGCCATGCTCCTGCCCAAACACAGCCACGTCATCTCGATGAACCTGTTCAGTAGCGAAATACCCCTCGAGTCTCGAGATCCTTGCAAGGATATCGGCCCGAAGGCTGTGCTCGCCTGCTGACTCGGTTGGCCGCTCGGATGCGCTCAAGCACTCGGGTTCACTCTGACCTTCACGTGTTATCGCTGGCAAGATGCTTCTGATAGCTGTTTAGCATCACATCACACTATGAGGAGTTTGTCTCTAGCATACCTGGGTTGCCAGGGGAATGGATCAGGCCTGGGCTTGGGTTTCTCGCGCCTCTTTCTCGGATCCTGCCTATAGCAGCATTCTAGGCCTGATTTGCGACAAGCCTGGCACGGCCCTGGTTGGTCTCCCGAGCACTACATAATCATCAGACCAGGAAAGGATATGGGAGGAAGGGCTCATGGTTAGCCTTGCCTTGACTTTCCGCTTTTGACATGTAATGCTAGAATATTGGTCAGTAAATGTATATAAAATAGTGTCATTGCGTTCTTTTTATGTCAAGGTGTGTGGCTGCTAGGCTTCTTACCAAGCTCGTGAAACATATGGAGGGCGTCTTATGCTCTTAGATCTTTGTCTGCTCTTCTCGTTGGTATCTTGTCCCGCTGCGTGGCAACTTGGGGTGGTTTGAAGACCAAGTGCTGTACAGCTGATGCTATCGTCCATCTGTTCTGTCTCTCGAGTAACTATAATGAAATATTGACATTCAACCCTTGTAAATCGGCCACGGTGCTCTGAGAGAAAGAGAGAGAAAAAGCGTCTGATCTGTGAAATGGGAGTCGAGCTTCTTTCTCTCTTTCCCTCTCTGCCACCTGGGGGACCCTGGCAAGCTCCGACATGGTCCTTTGGAGCCGAGATCTGGGCCCCCAGGTTCTTAGTCCCCCAGAAGATTTTCTTAGCATTCAGCCTTGGTGGGTTATAGTTCTCTTTGCCTCCACAGCTGCATGTTCTATTGGTGCTTCGGGATCACCTTCGGAATTTCGCTGGTCCCGAAATTCCTGGAACATACAAAGCCAAGGGCGAGTCGCAGTCCTCGGTCGGTAGGAAGGTTTAGACGTTGGATTGGCTCCATTCCAGCTTCATGGTGCCCGTACGCTTGAAGCTTTCATATTGATCACCTGAGTAGCGGTCCTGCCAGAGTTGTTCATACTGATTGGTTTGGGCTCTGAACCTGTTGCAATGGTCATTCTGAGCCTGGGCATCGACATGACGCAGGGAATCTCGCAGTTCAAGGGTTGTGATGCAGTGAACATCCTATGATACAGACGAGGGCGCCTTCGAGTGCTCGAATTGTGAATCGAACGCCCCTGTTGCGCTGATGTCAAGCAGACATATCATATAGAACTTGACATTCACTGACACTAGATGGCCCAGAAGAGGAATGTCGTTTCCGTCCAACTCCTCTACTGTTCAGAGCCCGACCGCTGCGAACTTGAGTATCTGCGTTCTGTCCCAGGGAGCTATGCCATTCTACCGCCGTCGATCTTATATTCGGCTCCAGTGATAAACCGACTCTCATCACTGAGCAAGAAGCCTATGAGAGCGGCAATTTCCTCTGGTTCTGCTTCTCGCTGCAGTGCTGATGGGTTCCCGGAGAAGGTGACTCCCGACAAGGACTGCTGCGCCGAATCCATCATGGGGGTGCGGACGCGTCCTCTGTATTCAGAATTCTAACGGTTAGAAGTCGAGGAGACCGAACATAAAGGAATTCAAGAGCCTTACGGGCAGATACAGTTCACCCTGACCTCCTTTTCACCCATCTCGCGCGCTGCGCACCTGGTCAACGCCAGTACGCCGGCTTTGCTCACGCAGTATGCCGGGTAGTTGGGATGCCCATATAAACCTGCAATACTGGACGCGTTCACAATGCTGCTTCCGTTCGAGATGACCTTCTGCTGTGCACGGAGACAGTAAAACACTCCGGACAAGTTGATGTCGAGCAAGGAATGCCAGTTTGTATCAGACAGCGTCGAAATGCCGTCCATGGTCCGGCTGAACACGCCAGCGAGGTTGGCCGCGCCGTCCAGTCGACCAAAGGCTGTGATGATCGCTCCGACCCAGTCTTCCACGTCCTGATTCTTAGAGACGTCGAGTGCGTACGTGTGAAGCTTGACTCCCGGTGTTTGTGCTGTGATCAGGTCTCTTGCTTGTTGCAGGGCTTCATCACGGATATCTGCGAGGGCGAGAGCGGCTCCTTCTTTGGCCAGATAGTGCGCTGTGGCCAGACCGATTCCTGAACCAGCTCCCGTTATAGCAATGACTTTATCTTGAAACCTGTTCCGGCTATCCATTGCACAGTGTAGAGAGGGAGGAGCCCTTGCCTTTCGTACACTCAAGGTCAGATAAGCACTCGCGAATGCATAGATCAAAGGCGCTTGGCTCTCTGACGAACTTTTAAAGGATGCGGCAATAGAGGCTAGGAGAACGGAAGTGGATTGGGAGATCGGAGGATTGCAGAGGAACGAGGAATTTGGTACTTTTCCGACACCCGGATTTCCGAAATCCTGGTGCTCAGAGGAGAGAGGCCTTTGTACGTTCTGCCCTTCTTCAGCTTCCGGAGATTATTAACCATCGTCTTCACACCATCGGCGGCGTGGGCACATAAAATACATGTCCATGGGTGGACTCCTCTCTGCGCCGATCTGTGAATTCGTGTGCACACATATATATCATATAGTTTCACAAAAAGACGCTGACGAGGACCATGTCATTCAATCCCACCTTCAACCTGTTTTCTCTTCAACATCTGTCGCCAATCTCGGAGCGTCGTACTCTCTTGCTTTTGCCTCGTGAAGTTCTGTCTGTCCACGATCGTGCAACCGTCGCACGACCTCCCCAGTCAGGAGGTGGTCAATGTTCTTGATGAAGACAGAGGCAACCATTCCACACACACCGAATGCGATGGTCATCAAGAAAACGATCTTCAGGGCCCCGGAGAACGCGTCTTTCTGTGCAGTGGAGAGCGCAGCACCAACTCGAGCGTTGAATCCCGGTACTGTCTGTAGGGCATCTGCACCCTGAGTGAGGGCCGTGAACAGTGCCGGCAAGGATGAATCTGGAAGTCCGGCTGCCGTAACGGCCTTGGGGATAAGTTTTGTACTGAGTGCAGTATTTCTGCTTGAGAGGACAGACCCATACATGGCGACGGCGATCGAGCCGACGGCGGACCTGATGGCACCTTGAGTTCCTATCGCCATTCCAATGTCTTCGGGTTGGACGGTGAAAGTGATGGAGGTGATGGGAATCATTTCCACACAGCCGCAAGCGATTGTTCCCAGGATGACAAGCACCGTGCTCCGGTCCTTGGAATGTTGGGTTGTCGAAGCGAGCGAGCCGATCAAGGCGGTCACCACAGTCGTGAAAAACATGAGTTGATAGCGGATTCTTCCAATGCGTGCAAATATAGCACAGCAGACTATGTCGCCCAGGGTGTTGCCACCCACGAATGCCATGGTAAGCCATCCCTGGTAGATAAGGTCATCTGTCCACAGGGCCGCAGTCGCTGTAGGCCAAACAATATTGAGGGGATAGTATAGCATTCCTCCGACACAGGCAATCACCGTCAGCAGCATGAACTGAGTATTTTTGAGGAGCCACAGAGGGACAAACGGGTCGGATGGGACGTATGATTCGTATACCACGAAGGCGACCAAGAGTAAAAATCCGATGATAATAGTCGAAATAACAGCAGCAGACTTCCAGGGATAGATGTTCCCGCCCCAGTTGATACCCAGGAGGAAAAGGACCATACCCGCGAGGAAGAGCGTGATACCACCAAAGTCGAGTGTCATGACTTTCTCCTTCAGTGTCCTATTCATATGCAACATTTGAAATGTTGGAGGTCGGTAGAACAGGAAAAAGAGTAATATGGCGATGCCCTGCATGATGATGGTTAGGTAGTAATTCCACCGCCACCCTGCTGCGGTATTGACAATCAGGGCTTTGGCGATGACTGGACCGAATGCTGCACCAGGGATTGAAAAAACCATGATAAAGCCGTTGACCAGTCCTCGTGCCTTGCAAGGGACTAGCTCTGGTAAGATACAGCCGTAAGAGAACTGAGCTGCACCGCCGAGACCAATAAAGACATTCGAGACGATCAAGGCCGAAATCGATTGAGCTGTACAGGCGACGATAGAACCAACGAGAACAAGGGCGTTTGAATAGATGACAAACCATCTGCGTCCAAATATATCCGAGAGTCGTCCGAAGAGAAGATAACCAGTCGCCAGAGTCAGAGTGTAAGCCAGCGGAATCCAAAGATAGCTGTCGCTTGGTCCAAGCTCTTCATTCATGGTAGCGAGGCTGTTAGAAGCAAGGACCCAGCCGAAATACGCCGCTTGTACACTCAATCCTTGGGCCTGTGGCAGCGTCTTAGTGTCAGGCATGTAAAGTCTAGATATCATACACCACATACCAGGACAGTGCCCAAGAATGTCGGGGACCTGAAATATCCAGGTTGTACACTGGCCCCAAGGGCCTCCTCAGCTAGCACATCGCCATGCGCTGTTACCTTGAAGTCTTCGGTGTGAATCGGTGGTTCAGGCTTAGGGACGGCCTTTTCATCTGCGTGAGGTGTTGCTGCTTCCATCCTGGAAATAGAGTGGACGAATATCTTCTTGAAAGTGATGCTTGTACGTCTTCCGTCGTGCTTCAGACAGGACATGGAGATAGATATATACCTGTCTGGTCGTCGCTAGTCTTTGACTGGGACCACGATCCGGAGTATCGTGCGCCTCAACCCTTATTGGTAGGATAGTTCCGAAGCTGAAGCTTTCGGGGGCCACCCCTCGTACCCCGGATATTCATAGGAAGGTAACCTATTCCATGGATAGGACTGACTTCATTGCGAGCGGAATTCTGCGATAGGACTGCAAGGAGTAGATGAGCCATCGGAGAAGCTATGATAATCTCGAGCGCATAAGGACGGAAATCCCGGTTTTGTCATGAGATTGGATTGAAAGCATACGCCAGGTCCTGGACATTTTCTGTGCTTGGCAATGTTTGAGGATTTGTGCATCGATTGCAGACGCAAAGCATTGTTGATTAGGAACTCGATCAGCTGCCAGATATATTGGCGCAACTATCTCGGTCAAGGCATTGTCTTATCCAGAGGGTGTCGAGACGACAATGCAGTCATCATATGCCTCTCCCGCATATTGGAACCTTCTTACCACCGCTTTGGCTGCGGCAGTCTGTCCACCTGGGACGGTATGACAGATGAATGATCACCAATGACAAAGATAAATCAGAGAGATTCACTCATGAGAGCTCGCGGCGGACTTGCTGTTCCGGAATGCCATCTCGCCTTCACCACGACGATGTGCTTAGCAACGAGCAGCCAAGGATTAGTATTGCGCTTCAGGGTGGCTAGTTTGACGTTCGGCCACCTCTCCATTGTTGGCTGGTGAGGCAGTGAGAAGTCGACACTGAGAGACGCTGGAGCCCTTGATCAAAGTGATACTTGCCTAGCCGTACGAACTTTCACGGAATTTCCCTCAACCACGGATCTTCGAGCAGTTCGGTGGCTCCCTTTCTCTCCTCGGGCACCCAGGTAAGCATGGATCTCACGAATTTGAGAAACCTCTGTTTGTTTTCACCGCTCAAGCCGTTTTCTGACTCTTCAAGCGAGTGTGATGGGATATCGACCCCTCCGGCTCCCTTCCAGCGGCCTGGAATGTGTTAGGCTCATCTGTAAACGATCGATAATGTGAATATACCGACCTTGCTCATCAAAGACCTTCTGTGTGACTTCGCTTCGTTGTAGGTACTCAAGAGGCGGGAAGCCCAGATACCCGACCATTTCCGCGACATGGTGAGTTGCCGAAGATTCTCCATTTTCGTCCAGAGCATGGAATAAGTGTCGGTCTTCGAATAGATCCCATATCTATGACACAAGGCTTAGCCAGGATTGTAGGCAAAAGAGTTTAGAGCCGACATGTCAATTACCAAGACAGCAACATTCCAAATATCGACGTTCGAGTTCCATGCCATATTGAATAACACTTCGGGAGCACGATATAACTCAGGCTGAATCAGTCCTCTATGGAATTCCCCGATTCGAGACTCTCCAAAGTCGCACAGGACCGGCTGACCCCACAGGTCAGTCTTCGGAAGACCCAACTGGCGAGAGCCATAGATTGTGCGGACGTCATCAATCACTTTGGTGGGAGATGGGTCTTCGATTTCTTCGTTTTCAAAGTCCGAGAGCAAGGACTTATCGCCAATTGTCAGCATGATGTTTGACGGATTAATATCTAATTCAGATTATCAGTCAAAGACGAATAGCTTCTTAACCCTCAATGAATTTACCTGTATGTGTCACCTTGGCTTCGTCATGTAGGAAGGACAGGGCACGGAACAAATTAACTAGGGTCCACTTCAAAATCTGCTCATTGAGCCGACGTGATGGATTTTTACGCTGAAGTTCTTGAACAGTCATGTGCATCGGAGGATGGACCAGGCACAGGTGGTGACCAGCAGGACCGTTGACGGCGAATGTTTCGAGTAATCCGCGGATATAAGCTTGACCATCGTGCTGCGAGTTGAGGGCGCTGACGTGCTCATAGAACTGGAGCTCTCGGTAAAGACGGGTAGATTGGGCACTCTCTCGAGTGCAGACCTTGACCGCTGCAAACCCAGGATCGCTGTTCAAAAGCTTAGCAAAAGGGTGCGGCAGGGCAGGAGGAGCATACTCCAAATTTCGACAAAGCCAGGTCGTAGAGTATGCCCCGTACCCAAGCTTTCCCACCACTTTATATCTGGAGTCCAGTACTTCACCGATACGGACCGGATAGAACTGGTCTTGGTTGTACCATGGCAGTCGTTCCTCCTCAAAAGGTTGCGTGACGTTCATTCTGGTGGCATGGGTGCTAGCAAATTGTCTCTGTCCAGTCGCAGATATTTTAGCGAGTTGGTGCACCCGCCGAATAGCTTTCAGCATTGCTTGAGCTATTCAGCTTGCGCTTTGTAATGCAACCAATATATGCTCCCATGGTTCACTTGTGGTAGCTCAGGATGAGGGAACACATGCGATCATGTTGAGGAAGGAGGAACTCCACAGATGGCTTGCCAAGCCAATAAATCTCTAAGCCTAAAGCGGTTAATGACCAGTTGATTCAGCCTCAAACCCTTAGCACCACCAGCATTACCAGTAACTCTCACCCAACTCTCTCATATCCTCTCACGCCTCTTGTGGCTTGCTAACCTCAAATCATGGCGCTTGCCTCATATTTACTAAGAATGTGCTTCGCGTGTCACTCTGTGTCAAGGCCTTTCGGGGATACACAATCACTCACCTCTAGGCGCCAGCATAACACTTGAAAAATTTGAGGCTGCCTGCCCAAATAAAACCATGCTCGTCTTCCTCCTAATCAATCAGTGGCCATACCCGCTATTTCTCCTAGAACCTTATTCTGATAGATATCGCTTGTGGAATGAACGTTGGAGATTGTGACGATGAATCCGAACCCTCGAAGACTTATTCAATACATTGGTTCCGTCAGACTCGACAATCGGCACGGGCCATGTTCCTGGAGACGGAACTGGTTCTGTGAATTGGAAGTGAATGTCTTCTTTGGTATAGACATTGGATGGGCTTGATCGGGAATTTCACGCGGGTCCGCATCTGCCATGCCACATACCACCCAGCACATAAAAACCTTCGCTTTTCACCAGGCTGAATACACGGTAATTTGCAAAATGTCGAAGAGGGAATCCAAATGTCGATCCGGAGACTCTAGGAATGTGGATATCAAACGCGGTCAGAATGACGGTAACAGCAATATCTCCGGTCGCGGGAGTTAGGGTAAGCAGGCAGCAATCTCGGAATATCAGTCATCTAAAAGACTTCAGCATCTCCTGGGCGGAACAGGTATGAAACAAGACCGCCATCGACGTAGTTGGTGAATAAGCCGATGCACCTCTGTACCCCCTGTCTGAGACTGGGCCGAATGAGGACGTATATCTTCGTGGGGTCGATGAAATAACAGTTTTATCAGATTGAGATTATGTTACTCACCAAGGGATTCACCAGCATGAGCAAGTCGAGCAAGACAACTGCATCCACATTGGCCTTGGACTTCTTCTAGACGTGATTTGGGTTCCGGGCGCAACGTGTTTTGTGCAGCCATGAGATGAGAACCATTCCACCGTGCGGAGGGCCCTTGAGACTTTCTTCATTGTCCTCTCGACCTCTACCGATGTTGATGTGACCACCACCAATCGAGTACAAACTCACAAGTTACCTAGATAGAGCCAAGCCTGAGCCAAGCACTCGACCCTCAATGCAAGTACGTACTAAGCGAACAGGCTACTGACAGCCTTGGCATGTTTGTCATGATGTCAACCTTTGTCAACCTCTGTCAATCCTTCAAGTCCCCAGCCTGCTGGTGCCTGTGTGTAGCCCAACGTGTCCCTTTTGTTTCAAATTTATCCTCTCCTTCGCTCCACCCGACTAGGACTGTATTGTAACGCACGGAGCATTGATGATAAAGTTCTAAGTCCTGGCCCTCTGAACTCCGAGTGTCAGGAACAGTCCAACGCCACCCGATCACAAACGCAATGCCATTCATCTTCCCAAAATCACTGTCAAACGATTCTGTCTACGCGACGAATCGATAAGTCCCTCTGGCTGGCCTGTGTGGAGGAAGGTAATAAGCCTAGAAGAATGGCTCCTCCGCAGGGGCAGGCCTCGTACAAGAAGCAGCCAGGGATCTTATCAATCTCCAAAGACAGGAAATCCGTGTCATGGACTCCAGCTCAGCCACCAGATGCGGCTCCAACTCTGGTGCTCTCTGCTGCAAATATCACCAACCTGCAACAGACCCCTGAATCGAACCCCAAGGTGATGCTGAAGATATTTGCGCAGGATCCCGGACAGTCAGAAGCTGTTGCTCATGTCTTCACATTCACGTCTTCCAAAGATCCACGGGGCGAGGCCAACGGCATCAAAGAGGCTCTCGCAAATGTTATTCAAGCGCAGAAGGCGGCTCAAAATGCCTCGGCTGTCTCCTCAGGAGGCCAGTCGGCTGCCATGACCATGGCCAATGCTATTTCCGGCTCCGGTCGGGCGATCAATCTCTGGGAAGACGATGAGCGGCTCAAGTCTGATGTCAAGCTTCAACAATCCTTGATGCAAGAAGACCCAGTGTTACAGAAGACATTCAAGGAAGCACTCAGTCTCAAGCCTGAGTCAATATCCGACGCACAGTTTAGAGCGCAATTTTGGTCCTCCCGTGTGCATCTCCTTCGGGCACATGCACTCTCGAAGAGTCAAGGAAAAGGCAGCTTCAACGTTCTGGCCGGAATCAAAAAGGATGATGGTGGCAGAATGAGTCTCAGACAAGATCAGATTCGTGCTATCTTTGAACAATACCCTGTTATGCGCATCGTCTACGATGAACTTGTACCCCGCAAGATCCCTGACGACAAAGATTTCTGGTCGAGGTTTTTCCAGAGCCAGCTACTCATGAAACTCCGGGGACTTAAATTTGACCCAACGAGGGAATCCCGCGACCAATACATCGATGTCGACTATTACTTGAATCACCCTCTTGTCACTGGTCTCCGACCTACTGCAACTGAAATGCA